GCCCATAGCCCCACCACATAATGTTCTAAGAACCTTTTGTGGTTGCCACGAAACGTTCTTAAAAAACATGTCTGGCTGGGGCTGTCTTCTTTTTCAGCACATCGGGCTTCTGTTCTGAGAACAGTGGTTCTGCTCTTGGAACATTCTGGGGTTATGGGAACATTTCGCGGTAGGACTATAGGAATGCCGGGACGGTCGGTCCCTGCTCAAGACCCTGGATTCCTCATTCAGGGGTTCCTTATCCAATGCCCTCGCCGTGCTCCTTGGAGGATGCAGACCCTGGGGAGTCCTTCCCTGACGAGGGCGGCGGCGATATCCACAGCCAATCCTCACTTGGAGTTCCGGCGGCGCCCAGACCCTCAAGCAGTGGCGAAGCGTCACGGCTCGCCTATAGCCCCACCACATAATGTTCTAAGAACCTTTTGTGGTTGCCACGAAACGTTCTTACAAAACATGTCTGGCTGGGGCTGTCTTCTTTTTCAGCACATCGGGCTTCTGTTCTGAGAACAGTGGTTCTGCTCTTGGAACATTCTGGGGTTATGGACATTTCGTGGTAGGAACTAATAGAATGCCGGGACTGGTCGGTCCTGCTCAAGAACCTGGATTCCTCATTCTCTAGGTGGTTTCCTTATCCAATGCCCTCGCCGTGCTCCTTGGAGGTTCGACCCTGGGGGTCCTTCCCTTACGAGGGCTGCTGCGATCTCCACAGCCAATCCTCACTTGGAGTTCCGGCGGCCGCCCAGACCCTCAAGCAAGTGGCGGACGCTCACGGCCGCCTATAGCCCACCACAAATGTTCTAAGAACCTTTTGTGGTTGCCCCGAAACGTTTCTTAAAAACATGTCCTGGCTGGGGCTGTATTTTTTCACGCCATCGGGCTTCTTTTCTGAGAACAGTGGTTCTGTCTTGGAACATTCTGGGTTATTGGAACAATTTTCGTGTAGGACTATAGGATGCCGGGACGTCGGTCCCTGCTCAGACCCCTGGATTCCTCTTCAGGGTTCCTTTCCAATGCCCTCGCCGTGCTCCTTGGGCCTCAGACCCTGGGAGTCCTTCGACACCAGGGCGGCGGAGATATCCACAGCCAAGCCTCACTTGGAGTTCCGGCGGCGCCCAGACCCTCAAGCAGTGGCGAAGCGTCACGGCTCGCCCATAGCCCCACCACATAATGTTCTAAGAACCTTTTGTGGTTGCCACGAAACGTTCTTAAAAAACATGTCTGGCTGGGGCTGTCTTTTTTTCAGCACATCGGGCTTCTGTTCTGAGAACAGTGGTTCTGCTCTTGGAACATTCTGGGGTTATGGGAACATTTCGTGGTAGGACTTTAGGAATGCCGGGACGGTCGGTCCCTGCTCAAGACCCTGGATTCCTCATTCAGGGGTTCCTTATCCAATGCCCTCGCCGTGCTCCTTGGAGGATGCAGACCCTGGGGAGTCCTTCCCTGACGAGGGCGGCGGCGATATCCACAGCCAATCCTCACTTGGAGTTCCGGCGGCGCCCAGACCCTCAAGCAGTGGCGAAGCGTCACGGCTCGCCCATAGCCCCACCACATAATGTTCTAAGAACCTTTTGTGGTTGCCACGAAACGTTCTTTAAAAAAAAAACATGTCTGGCTGGGGCTGTCTTTTTTTTCAGCACATCGGGCTTCTGTTCTGAGAACAGTGGTTCTGCTCTTGGAACATTCTGGGGTTATGGGAACATTTCGAGGTAGGAAATAGGAAATGCCCGGTACGGTCGGTCCCTGCTCAAACCCTGGATTCCTCATTCAGGTGGTTCCTTATCCAATCCCTCGGCCGTGCTCTCTTGGAGGATGCAGACCCCCGGAGGGTTCCTTCCCTGACGAGGGCGGCGCGATATCCACAGCCAATCCTCACTTGGAGTTCCGGCGGCGCCCAGACCCTCAAGCAGTGGCGAAGCGTCACGGCTCGCCCATAGCCCCACCACATAATGTTCTAAGAACCTTTTGTGGTTGCCACGAAACGTTCTTAAAAAACATGTCTGGCTGGGGCTGTCTTTTTTTCAGCACATCGGGCTTCTGTTCTGAGAACAGTGGTTCTGCTCTTGGAACATTCTGGGGTTATGGGAACATTTCGTGGTAGGACTTTAGGAATGCCGGGACGGTCGGTCCCTGCTCAAGACCCTGGATTCCTCATTCAGGGGTTCCTTATCCAATGCCCTCGCCGTGCTCCTTGGAGGATGCAGACCCTGGGGAGTCCTTCCCTGACGAGGGCGGCGGCGATATCCACAGCCAATCCTCACTTGGAGTTCCGGCGGCGCCCAGACCCTCAAGCAG